CCACGTGCACACTCTTTTGTCATATTTTCAGCAAGTGTTTTATTGGTATATTTTTTTTATGTTCTCTATAAATTTTTAATCATTTTATTGTCATCTGATAATGGCAGCGTTTATTCTGACTGGGATTTTAGTTTTGTTAATTTAGTTTATATAAAGGAAGTCTGGTCGTGTTAATCTCCATTGACAGTATATGCTTTCTTTTTCTGAGGGGGGGTGCTCTGTTCCGGCAAACTGAAATCTAGGAGCTGTTTCTATGTTTTTCCATCTACAGCTTAAACATGATGCTGTCCACTGTGGTGATGATGTGGCTGCCAGACTATCAGAGTCAACCAGTTACACTTTCACCTGTGGTCAATATAATCACTATTTAGAACAACATCCATGTCTTTGGACTGTGGGAGGAAGCTGGAGTACCCAGACAGAACATGCAGACTCCACACAGGGAGGCCTGAGCCAACCAGGACCTTCTTACTGTGAGGGGATGGTGCTAACCACTGCACCACCGTGCTGCTAGTTTCTTTTTGAATATATAAAAGATGTTTGTTTTTGTTTTAATTGAGATGGCCTTTATATTGATATTTGTTTTCCTTATTTAGCTCATTTAGTGCATTTACATTAATTTACTGGTATTTTTAAGTTGCTTAAGAATCTAGACTTTCTGTGAGAACCTCAGGTTTGGTAGGCAGGTATAAGTGTACAATTTTCATTTGTTGTTCTGCAAGTATTAAATAAAGCATTAAACCTGTATTTATACTCTCCTGTACTATTCTTCGCTTGTAAAGTTCTGTACATAAAATAAGTTAAAAACAATAGAATAACAGAAAACAGCAAAAGTAAATAAATAAAACACATAATACATAAAAATTAAAACAGCCCTATACTTAAAAAAAACAAAACAAGACAAAATGGCGTAGAAACAACTAAAATAAAACAAAAAAATAAAAACCAACATCTCACGTGGTGTCAAAGGCCAGGGTAAAGAGGTGGGTTTTCTGGAGTGACTTAAAAACTGGTAGGGAAGTGGCCTGTCTAATCTCTAAAGGGAGTCGTTCCACAGTTTGGGAGCTGATACAACAAAAGCACGATCTCCTCTAAGTTTACACCCAGTCCTGGGTACATTCAGGAGGAGCTGATCAGCTTACCTGAGAGAGCCGGTAGGTGTATAAGGCTGTAGCAGCTCAGAGAGATAAGATGGGGCTAGGCCATGCAGAGCTTAAAAAGCAAATAGAGGAAGTTTAAAATGAATCCTAAAAGAAATGGGCAGCCAGTGAAGTGAAGCTAAAATAGGGGAAATGCACTCAAATTTTTGAGCGCCCGTTAAAATAGTAAATGGCCTGCATTTACTATTTACAAAGCGCTTTACACTACATTCAGTCATTCACACACTGGTGATGGCAGCTACATTGTAGCCACAGCCACCCTGGGGCGCACTGACAGAGGCGAGGCTGCCGGACACTGGCGCCACCGGGCCCTCTGACCACCACCAGTAGGCAACGGGTGAAGTGTCTTGCACAAGGACACAATGACCGAGACTGTCCAAGCTGGCAACCTTCCGATTACAAGGCGAACTCCCAACTCTTGAGACACGATCGCCCAATCGGGCGATACAGACTGAAATATTTGTATATTACAAGATTAAAGAGATTAAACAAGAATATTTCAAATACACAGTAAAGATGAAAAAACAATGTTTTCAGTTGTTCACACAGGATTAACCTGAGTGACCTCTTCCTGGACCGTTTCTTTAACAACTGTAATAGATTACAGGAAGTCTCTGGCAGTGTTGCTGAATCTGCCCGAGCAAGATCAGACGTGGATGGGCTGCTGCAACTGAGACCTGCGGTTGGTCTTTCCTGGTCGGCGAGTGGAGAATCACACAGGGTGGTCTGCAAAGATATTTAGTTTATATATTTTATATGATACAGCACATGTGTAAGAATGACCGATGTTGTGCCAAAAACTGATTTCTGGTTTTTGCCCTAAACTGATTGCTCATATTTAACCTGCTATAAATAACTTGTTGGTCTATAATACGTGAAACATGTTAAATGTTTCCCTCATTAATGACATCACGTCACTTTGAGCCACCAGCAACATTCCTGTAACAGGTAGAAGCTGCAATCAGTTTTTGGCAGTGACTTTTATATATCCTTTATTTATCCAGTTCACAAACAATCTTGTTGACATTACAAATGTATTTTTTAAGTGTAATCTGGCCAAGTGGACAGCAGACAGCGCAACAAATGTATCAACTGTACCTACATTATAACCAGTTATAAAGATACTTGAACAACAGGTAGTTATTATATATATAAAACCCCTCTGTAAACCATGTTCACCAACGCCTATTTACCGACATACATGAAGATATTAAACACGGAAACAGTGGAAATCAGTTTTGGCAGGCAAACACTTTTTTGGCACAACGCCGGCTTTTAAGACCAGCGATTCAGGGTCATTTGGTTGAGCCCTAATTTTATGCTTTAGCAAAAAGGAAAGTTTGAAGTCTAATCTTAAAAGTAGAGATAGTGTCTGTCTCCTGAAACCAAACTGGAAGCTGCTTCTCTGTCGGTACTCCTGGTGCAGCATTTTGGATCAACTGCAGGCTTTTCAGGGAGTTTTTAGGACAACCTGAAAATAATGAATTACAGTAGTCCCACCTAAATGCATGAACTACTTTTTCAGCATCATTCTGAGATATGATGATTCTAACATTAGAGAAACTGTAATAGACCTCAGAATAAAGAAACTATGCAGTCTCTCTGCTGCAGTCCTTCTCCTCAGCATCAGGCTGGTTGTGCTTTAAATCCTGCAGACAGAAATCATCTCATTGGTTGAGTTCCACACCAGTGTGGGTGGAGCCAAAAACATTATCAAGCCTGGAATTTAAATCTGTGTCAATATATGTAGCACTCTTGAAAGAACAGAAATGCTTTTAATATGAAAATGTCACATTTGAACGTTCCTGCAGTTGGTTTGTGGTTGATGTGGATTTGCTGCTCATGTGAATCCTCCCACAGTGTTTCATTAGCAGCTGTAACCACAGTGACTCTGATAAAACAGGAATTAGCAGAATCCATCTGATATGAAGCTGTGCTTTGAATACCACTTCCCTCCTCTTTGAAGAGTAGTCAGATATCTGTGTTCAGGTTTTTGTACAGCCTCTTCTACACTTTGTATCACTGTGTTTGTAGAGCACAGTAGTAGAGAGCTGTGTCTGCCAGGGTTAGGGCTGCTATGGTCAGATTAGTTGATCGAGTCTGATGTTTCTGAGTCATATCGTTATCAGGAATATACTAACAGTGGTCTTTGCTCCTTTCCAGAGTATAAACTGACGGAGCCTGAAGGTCAGAATCGATGTCTTGTACCAGTAAGAACATCATGCACTTCATCTGTCATAGCTACATGTGAGTTGTGACAGATTCTCCTTCTGTTTTAGTGACTTCAGGTTGTTGAGGAGTGATTGAGTCTCCAGCTGTTAGTCCTGGAAAAAGAAAGAAGAAAAGTAGTGAAATGCAGTCTGTATATCTGCTTAATGCAGCAGCTTCAACTAAACTTTAATCCCTGTTCTTAAACTCACCTATAATGTGAGATAGAAGCAAAAAGAGGTGCAGCAACATGTCTTTGGAGTTATTAAAGCCAGACAGACAGCACATGAACAATGTTCTTCCACTGCAGCACAATGACCAACAAATAATGTCATTGGATGAGCTCAACTTCAGTGGGCGGGGCCAGTTTAATAGCTCAGCCAATCAAACAGTTTTGTGCTTCCACAGCAGCTCTGTCTCTGTCTCTGATCTTTACTGCTTCATTTCTCTGTTGTCTTTGTCATCAGTCCAATGACACAAGAATCAGAGGTTTAACAGTGTGTGGCTCCCTCTAGTGGATGTTGTGGAGTATTCTGTTGTCTTTGCTCCAAAGGTTTTTGTACAGAGTTTTGCTGTTTCCTGTCACTGTGGGCGCAGAGCACAGTAGTACACAGCAGAGTCAGACAGCTGAAGCTTCTGGATCTTCAGAGGAACTGATCTGATGCTGGAATCCAGTGTGGATGAAAATCTCTCCTTGAACTCGTCTGCTGTGTTTCCATCATCCCCACTATACCATCAGGATGAATTTGGGGCTGTTGTTTCCATCCTGTTTGTACCAGAAGAGATAATTAGTTGTTCACTGCTGTTATACTGACAGCCAAGTGTCACTGTGCCTCCTGCAGCAGCAGTCTCTTCTCCTTTTGCTTGCAGCACGTTGTCTTTTTGTGCTCTGCATTCTGTAAAACACCAACAAACAGTATCAGTGTGCTGTTAAAGAATCACGTCAATGTTGATATCAAAGAAACAGAGTTGTGTTCATACCGAGGCACATAGCAGCCAGCAGCACTGAGATGAACAGAGGCGTCATATCTGCAGTGTAGAGTAACTGTGAGCTACAGCAAGTATAAAGAAGCTGTGATCTCTCTGTTTAGTCTTCATCAACACTAAGTTGGTGGATTAGAAGGAGGAGCCTGATCACAGTGACAGGACTCATTCACAGCCCTGTGTTATTCCCCCTGCTGACAGCTTCACACTCAGCACGTCTTTCTGCTGCTCTGCTTTGCTTGGAGATCTTGCAGCAGGAAGTCTATAAAGTGAAATCTATCCGTTGGTAGTTTGATCTACCGCTCCTTCAATGCACATGTTGAAGAGTCCCTGGATAAGACTGATGTTCACAGCTGTTCTTTCTGTCAGCTCCAACCTGTCTGATTGTTCTCCTCTGAGCTCTCTCATCACCAAACTAATGCTCACCGGTTTTAGTTTCACACAATGCAACAATGCTTATGGCAAAAGGATACTAAGTTTAATTTGAGCACTTTAATTTGTTTTTGATGGATCTGTTTTCTCTTCGCACTGTAGCCTTGCTGCTTAGAATCTGTTCATTTACTGCAACGGTGAGTTTAAAAATGTACACATAGGAACTAAAGGCAACACGTGTGCTCTGCCGGAAGCTCACCACGTGACACCAGGCGGAAGAAAACAAAGGAAAGGCGCTAATACCGTTAGCTTTCCACGTGTATGTGCCTGAGCACAGGGACTGTTGTGTTGTTGTGTGAGCTGAGTGTGTGAGCTGCGGCAGCAACGATGCCTTCAGTTCAGTATCTGAGAGAGTTTATCAACGAGCGACTAACTGCTGCTGCTGAACAAATATTCTTGGAGTTTGAAAAAACGATCGTCCAGTACGAGGAAGAGATCGACCGTCAGCGCAGACTGCTGGATATCACCTGGAAACCCCAAATCAAGCTGCACAGGACAGGTGAGTGTCCCTCTGAGGGAGGATCCTGATCACAGCTCTGCGGGACGTTTCTGATTGTGAGGACTTTTTGGAGATGTGAGCTAACAAAGAGCAAACAGAGGACAGGACTGCGCTGCGCTGCATTCAAACAGCAGGCGCTGAAATCAGCCTGGATTTCTCTCCTGATTATTTAGTGAAACAAAGTTAGGATCAGGAGATTTGTGAGTCTGGTTCAGAGGGGGACCCATGTGCCGAAAAGCCCCCGGAAGAGTCAGGGTTGGACTCGGTCCAGGGCCGTTTCCTCCCCGCTCAGTCCCTCTCTTCCTGTTTGAAATCAGGCCGGATTTAAGCATTTTATTTAACCTGATTTATATAGCACCAAATCAAAATAGCCGCCTCAAGCCACTTTATATTGTAAAGTAAGGGTCCTGCAGTAATACAAGGAAACCTCAGCAATCATATGGCGCAATTTGAGCAAGCGCTTTGGTGACAGTGGGACGGAAAACCAACCTTTTAACAGGAAGAGACCTCCAGCAAAACCAGGCTCAGGGAGAGGCGGCCATGTGGGAGTGAGGGGAGGAAAACAGGACAAAGACAGCTGTGGAAGAGAGCCAGAGATTAATAATTAGTAGTTGTTGTAATAATAATCATAATGATGATAATAACGACCAATGATTGAGAAAGCTAGAGATGATGATGATGATGATGATGATGATGATGAAGTAAAACAGTGTTTAATTGGAAAGTGTTGGAAACATAATATGAGCTGCAATAATAAAATGTGTTTGGTGATTTATCTGCAGGCTGTTTCTCTTTTAACATCTTTAGAATTTTCTTCAGTTTACTATTTCGTCCCCATTTTTCTATTCAGCACCACAAAACTGTCAGGTGGTTCAGCCGAATTAAAATAAATAACGTCCCTTTGACTGTCTACAGTGCAGATCACATTATTTTCTGTTTGATTGTTTTTTGGAAATTGTAATAATTGTGTTCTAATGGTAAATATTTCTGTTTTTATTCTTCAATGTAGTATTTAAACACAGAAAAATACAAATATAAATGCATAAATTATTGTAGAGAGTACAAAAAAAAACTATTATTTTGTGATTTTAATTAATATTTTATTTGATTACACCACCTGACAATTATTAGCTCACTCTATGAGAGTTGTGTGTGTGTGTGTGTGTGTGTGTCCTCCCCCTTTGGGCTTGATGAGGCGTTTCCAGGGTTGGCAGGGAAACTGGACTCACCTAACTGCATTGTGTAACTCTGGTGAAGGAGGTTGTTTTTCAGGAGTTGGGTTTTGCCCTTTAGTTCCAGTCAAAGGAACTTTTATTTCTTCAACATACAAAGACATTTCAGATAATTTCATGCTGGTACCATGGAAGCTCTTCATTGTGAGTGAAGACACAACCATCGCCAAAGTAAACCACGTGAGGACCTAAAGGAAATTGGTAGCAACAAACTTGATCTGATGCTTAAATCTCCATTAATCAGCAAAATATGGACATTTTAAAGAATCTAACAAAGGCAAAGTGGCTAAAGCTAAAGCTAGCCAGAGCTCGGAGCCGGCAGCCTCGGTATGTCCTGTTATTTTAACTGACATTATACACATGCTGTAAAATATTGGAAGTACCTGTAGTTTGTTTGTTTTTCTATAAATAAATTCAAATTTTATTTGTCACATACACAGTACGATATGCAGTGAAATGCTTAGACATCTGCTCGTGACCTAAATTAAAAGACTGAATAGGATAGGAAATAAATCTGAAAATTAAAATGAAGGGTAAATTTAACTAGGAAAGAATAAAATAAAATAGAACAATAAGAGCAGCAGTACAAGTGATAAATGGTAATGAAAGAAATGTAATGTCCAGCGTTGTGCAATCCACATATTTAAGTGTCTTGTGTAGTGCAAATATAGTAATAATAATGGATTGGATTTATATAGCGCTTTTCAAGGCACCCAAAGCGCTTTACAATTCCACTATTCATTCACTCTCACATCCACACACTGGTGGAGGCAGCTACGGCTGTAGCCACAGCTGCTCTGGGGCAGACTGACAGAAGCGAGGCTGCCATATCGCGCCATCGGCCCCTCTGGCCAACACCAGTAGGCGGTAGGTGAAGTGTCTTGCCCAAGGACACAACGACCAGGACAGAGAGCGGGGATCGAAACGGCGACCTTCCAGTTATAGATACGCTTCCCAACCCCCTGAGCCACGGTCGCCCCAAATATGCTTAAAAGTGATTTATTTAAGTGACTTGTGACTGAGTGATTTGATTAGATGACCATGCAGTGTAGTTGTGCAGTGGCCACTAGTGTAAACAAATGTCCAGAAAGTCCAGTGTGTGTGTAAGAACCATATGTGTGGGTCAGTACTGTGTGGTGGTGTGATTGAGAGACCGTATCGCCTGCGGGAAGAAGCTCCTCCTCAGTCTCTCTGTGTTGGTCTTCAGGGAGCGGAATCGCTTTCCTGACCTCAGCAGAGAGAACAGTCTGTTGTTGGGATGGCTGAGGTCCTTCACGATCTTCCTGGCCTTGGTCCAGCACCGCCTGCTGTAGATTGAGTGCAGGTCAGGGAGCTCGGAGCGGATGGTGCGCTCAGCTGACCGCACAACCCTCTGTAGAGCTCGTCTGTCCTGCATGGTGCTGTTCCCGAACCAGGTTAAGATGTTTCCCGCCAGGATGCTCTCTATGGTGCAGAGTAAAAGTTCCTGAGCACCTTGGAGGGCAGTTGGAAGTCTCTCAAGCGTCTGAGGTGGTAGAGACGCTGCGGGCCTTTTTCACCACGGTGTTGATGTGACAGGACCATGACAGGTGAGTTAAGCGCTTCCTCTGAACTCATTCCCTCTAGCTGCCAGTTTTTCAACTCCCTGCGGGAAAGTGGTCGTGGCGGAGGTTTTATGCAACTGTTTTTAAAAAACTTTTAAATGACGACAGCTCACCGCTCATTTATGGCAGCTTTGAACAACAATTATTTCTGTTGGATCTGCATTCGCCTGTGCTGTGTGCACTTGCTTATCGTACACCGAAGTTTAACGAAGATTTTATTCAAGACTTTGTATTTGTATCGGGGATCTTACCAAGATTTGACAGCGTTTTAATCCTTGGGAATTTTAATATTCATGTTTGCTGCTACCAAAAACCTCTGGTTAGAGACTTCCTGAATCTTATTGACTCTGTTAATCTTGTCCAGTCAGTCAATTGTCCCACCCATGAGCGTAGATCTAGTTCATCTTGTGGTCTGCAGCTGATGTGACATTCAAATTTGCAAGTTCAATTTCTGGGCATTCCTCGCTGCACTGTACAGCATACACCACATTGTTAAGTCTGTGTTTAGGAGTTTTGTCTTTTGGGTGAACCAGTTTTTGACAATACACCCAGTCTTAACAATGTGGTGTATGCTGTACAGTGCAGCGAGGAATGCCCAGACCTCTACATTGGAGAGACCAAACAGCCACTTCACAAGCGCATGGCACAACACAGAAGAGCCACCTCCACAGGACAAGACTCAGCAGTCCATCTGCATCTAAAGGTCAAAGGTCACTCTTTCGAGGATGCCAATGTTCACATTTTGGACAGAGAGGACAGATGGTTTGAAAGAGGAGTGAAAGAAGCATCTATGTCCACTGTGAGCGACCATCTTTGAACAGAGGCGGTGGTTTACGACACCAACTCTCTGCCATCTATAATCCAGTTTTGAGATCCCTTCCCAGACGCCTTAACGCCCACTCACATCCTGGGCCATCTGACCTCAGGAAATCACATGATAGGGTGGGGCCAGGTTTCACAATGAGCTCACCTGAAACCCTGGCTGATTGTGACCCACACCAGTTTCACACCTTGGCTCATGTGAGTAGAGGATCATCAGGGGGTCCTTTGTCCCCCTTTGGGGGGAAACTCCCACTAGGTTTATATCTGGGACTCTCCACCATTTGACCTTAGAACTGAAGAAGCTTCTCAGATGAGAGGTGAAACGTCTTCAAGCAACTTAAAGAAGTCCAGACGCTTTTCTTTGCAAGCTCCTTAGACTACGATGACCTGGATGACTGAGAACCTTCACAGAGATTTCTCCTTGTATATGTTATCAGTGATAGTTTTTAGAAAGAAAATTGAAATCAGCAAAAGTCTGTATTAACAGGTCACAAACATCAGAATCTGTCCTCCTTTTACTTTCTAATCCAACTGTGACTGTTTGCTGTAATCATTTGTTCAGGATGATCGTCTCCTGGAGGAACAAAATGACCTGCATTTGTATAGCGCTTTACAGTCAGTTATTTCCAAATCACAGCCTCTTAATACTCTGCAAGCTTCCCGCCCCTCCCTCTGTCTCAACTCTGTACACGCAACATCTGAGTGCCTGTGTGTCAGTTCTTGGTTTGATTTAGCAGCTCATTACAGTAAATGTATTACCTAACCTCGTTTGACCCTTATTGGTCTTATTGGTCTAATGGTGAGCTTAACTCTACAGTAGGATGTGTATTCTCTGTTGCAGCCTTCATTCGTGGTCTTTCTCCTTGTAGCTGAATTTTTTTTAACTGTGAGGATTGTGCGAACAGCATCCATTTCTCCAGTGTTTTCAAAAGCAGACGTGAGTGATTGTCAGCACTGACGAGAGGTGGCAACTTTCTGAGGAACATGTTCTCACTGTAGAGCCTTATTTTGACGGTATATTTGCTCAGATATGTTTTTCTGTTGTCACATCACTTTTCTTTTTCTTTTTTTTTTGTCTCCTTCAGTTCCTCCAAACGTCCCACAGCAGCCTGTCTGTGAGGAGGAGGAGGAGGTTCTCCCTGAGCAGCAGCTCTGGAACCAGGAGAGGAGCTCCAGTGTGGAGCAGGAGGAACCAGAAGCTCCACAGATTAAAGAGGAACAGGAGGAACTGTGCAGCAGTCAGGAGGGGGAGCAGCTGGGACTGAAGGAGGAGACGGATACCTTTATGGTGACTGCTGCTGAGGAAAGAGAGCACAGTGAACCAGGAGGAGACGGGGAGCAGCTCCCCTCTCCCAGCTCTGCTGGAACTGAGAGTCAGGATCAGGAAGGAGGCAAGAATTCAAGATCAAGTAGAAAAAGAAATAAAAGTCACAAAAATAAAGAAGGCCCCACTGCATCAGGGAGTCGGTGTAACTCTGCTAAATGTAAAAAGTCTCTAAAATGTGATGTTTGTGGAAAAACCTTTGAGTTTAATTATCAAATTAAAATCCATTACAGAATCCACACAGGTGAGAGGCCGTTTGCTTGTAAGATGTGTGGGAAAATGTTCAGATGTAATAATTCTTTGTCAAAGCACATAAGAACCCACACAGGTGGTAAGCCATTTTCTTGTACGATATGTGGGAAGATGTTCAAACGTAGCTCTCACTTAACAGAGCACATAATGACTCACACAGGTGAAAAGTGTTGTTCTTGTCCAACATGTGGGAAAATGTTTGCATATAATAGGGATCTACTAAAACACTCAAGAAGTCACACAGGTGAGAAACCATATCATTGTAAAACATGTGGGAAAGTGTTTGGATATAGTAGTTCTTTATTCAAGCACATGAGAGTTCATGCAGGTTTGAAACCATCTCATAAAACATGGAAAAATATTCAGAAGTAGCTTTAATCCTCCAGAGTCCCGCCCCCTTTACTTTAGTGTTCCCGGTCAGAATTGACCGGTCTGTTTTCACAGCTCTTAAATTAGCATAAGGCAATTGTATGTAAAACACAATATTTATGAGTGCTTTAAGTTGTAAATCTGTCAGATTTGACCCCAACATGACAGGGACACAAAAACACACATGCTGTAAAACATGAAAACTCACAGAGAGAAGTGTATCCTCAACCAAGATTATTGGCTTAGTGAGCTGCTTTGAGCTGAAACCACATGTTTGTGTCTCTAAAGTCTTTACCTGGCCAGTTTTTACCTGGCTAAATCACCATGGTAACTTACACTGAACATATAAATAAACTGGTCGAAAGCGGGTAATGTTCGGAGGTTCAGTTTAAAAGTGGCCAGAATGTGACCCCGTATGTGTAATTTAATAATGCAGCAAATGTAAAGTATGTTGTTGTACTTGATTCTAATCTGCTGCTAAGTCTCTTTTACACAGATTGAATTGTAGCTATTACAAAAACAATAAAATGAATTTCACTTTGCTACAGACTGAAGCAAATCTTTTGTCAGGCTTTGGGACTGTAAGCTTTAATGTTTCATGGGTCCAGTTCAGAGCTCTAATGAGAGCTGAGCGCACACTCAAAGAGAAAATAATTATCACATTAAAATGTTTATTTTACTGCTCAATGCACTAGTTTTCTGCTGCGTTAACCTTTTATCATATCTTTACGTCGTGTTCTGTTTAACTTACATTTCTATGTTCTTTATAGATTTTTAAAATCACTTTATCGTCATCTGTTCATGTCTGATGGAGTAGGTTACACTCACACTTTGGAAGAAGTGAGCAGGCTCAGAGTCGGAAGCAGAAAGCCCGGCTTAAATAAAAAGTTCACGTCGACTGTCGTAAAACTGTTTTCTCTGCCTGATTTTACTTTTTGTTAGGTCAGTTTACACAAAGGGAGCCTGGCTGTGTTGATCTTCATTCATCGTCTACCCCTGAGGTCAGAAGTCGGAGTCTTTCTAGAGAAAACGGTGTCTGGAAGGCGAGGCTGAAAAAACATGTACAACGTTATAAAGGTTCAGAGTCAAACAACCTTTGGCTGGTCTTCCAGTTTGTTACACTGTGAGATCAGTCTGACCTCTCCAGCTGTATATTGAAATTACAAATGTGCACACTGAAACAAATATGACTTATAAAGTCAGAACTTCTGGCCTGTCGCTGAGATTTAATAAGGACTAAAAAGGCAAAGGCAGGAGCTGCAGGGGTTGGGGTTTCTGACTTTGTTACCGGAACAGGTCTGATGGGCTGCAGACTTTGTCTTCCTGCCTATTCTACTTCCAGAATCGGAGCCATTTCCAACTCTTCAGCGTGTTTCTCTCTTCTCGAGGCCACATTAGACTCCTGTGACTTTCTCATTTTCACTTTTATGACAGGAATGTTTTTAAATGTGCTGCTGGAGTCCACTCAGCTGGATTTCCATTTGAATCCTGAGCCAAACATAAAATCAGATCATCTTTTTTCATTGTTACTGTTAAGAAATAAATATATATTCTTAATGCTCATTTGCTGATTAGATTGTTTTATGAGAGGCCCAGACTTGACTAGGTCACAGGCTGACAGGAAACTGCATGTTTTTGCAGTATATGAGGAGCAGACCGAGTGAATCTAAGTTCAGATGAAGGGTGACAGGTTGCCCTGGCAACAGACCTCAGAAAAGGGAAGTTATTGCAAGCTGCACAGGAAGTAAGACACAAAGGAACTAAGTAGGAGTTGTTTGTGTTGAAACTGTGTGTGACGTCTGAAGTACTAAAATAACATGCATATGAGACTCATCTTGAGCTTCTAATGTTAGAGATTCTGCAGCTGGCTTTGGGCTGTGCAGGGCTCTCTCTTCCAGAAGATGATTGAATAAAGAATTATAAATGTTTTGACCACTCTGAGTCGGGTCTTCTCTGTTCTATCATGGGGATCAAAGAATCGGGTTTAATATTACTGAGAAACTTTATGATTCCTAAGATGGAGCAATGTGATTTTATTGTCCAGCTCTGTAGAGTTTAACAAGGAACAGGAGCAACTTTGCAACAGTCAGGAGAGAAGACAGGTTATACTGAAGGAGGAGACTGATACCTTCATGGTGACTGCTGATTATGAGGAAAGTGACCACAGTGAACCAGAACAAAAGAGCTTCTCTCTCACAGCTCTGCTGTAGGTGAGAGCCAAGTAAGCAAGACGTTTGATTCAGGATCAGCTGGAAATAGAAACAAAAGTGATGTTTGTGGAAAAGCCTTTAAGTATAATTATTTAATGAGAAAGCATTACAGAATCCACACAGGTGAGAGGCCGTTCTCTTGTAAAATGTGTGGGAAAACGTTTATATCTGCTAGTTCTTTGTTGAAGCACACACTCACTCATTGGCTCTTGTGCAACCGGCGTACCACACAGGGACGGTGTGCAGCAGCACACTCTCGATTGTGGCATGGGAGAAGGAGACTAGGAGGTCATGTCAGAACCCTCAGGAAATGGAGACACTGCTGGGCTTTCTTCACCAGGGCTGATGTGTCAGTTGAGAATTAAGTTATTGAAGTCACATTCTGTCAGACGTTGGACCTCATCTCTGTAGGTGGTGTAGTCATCGTCAGTGATGAGCTCCATCAGAGTGCTGTTGTTTGCAAATTTGATGATGATGTTGCAGGGTGCGTGGGGGTTAGTGCTGGGCGATATGGAAAAAATATTCATCACGATATGAATTATTTTATATCATGATTTACGACCTGACCTGTGGTCATCTGGGGGTGGGAGCAGACACTGTGGTGTCGAATCTATTGAAAAACAGATTCAGCTCGTTAGCTCTGTTCTCACCTCCCTCAGCTCCCCTGCTGTTGGTTGGCCTGAATCCAGTGATGGTCTTCATGCCCCTCCACACCTCTCTCATGCTGTTCTGCTGGAGTTTCCACTCCAGCTTCCTCCTGTAATTGTCCTTAGCCTCTCTGATCTTGTCCTTTAGCAACATCTGGACCTTCCTCACCTCCTCTTTGTTGCCCCCTCTGAAAGCCCTCTTCTTGTTGTTGAGGAGGGCTTTGATGTCCTTAGTCACCCACGGCTTGTTATTTGGGTAACAATGAACAGTCTGAGCTGGAACAATGGAGTCGGTGCAGAAAGTTATGTAGTCTGTGATACACTCAGTAAACCCAATGATGTCCTCGGCGTGAGGCTCACAGAGTGTTTCCCAGTTGGTCACCTCGAAACAGCCCTGTAGTTCCGCTGTTGCCTCCTCTGACCACCTCCTAACAGTCCTGGTGGTCACAGGTTCCCTCCTCACAGTTGGCACATAGCGGGGGTGAGGTGAATCAGGTTATGATCTGACCTACCAAGTGGGGGGAGGGAGGAGG